AGTTAACTAATGTGGCTAACTGAGCTGCCAGCCCATTTTGCTGTCAGCTTATGAGCGCAGAAATTCATTTAAATTTATCTAGTTGTCAGTTTTGCTAAGCTTAAAGATATTTGCACAATTTGCTCGTAAAAAACAAATCGAGCAATGAAGGAAAAAGAGGAAAAAAAAAATAAAATGAAAAAAAAAAGGAAAAATCCGCCATACAAATAGGAATACAAACAGAAATAAAACGGCAGCCGCTAACGAAGCGCCAACAACGTAGAAGTCCAAGTCGTAGCCGCGGTCGCAGGCGCAGTCGAGGAGGATGACGACGATGCAGTGGGCAGCGCCAGTTTAGGGTACCAGCAACAGGGTATGCCTGATTAGACAGGCAGTTTGTAACGCGCTCCAAAACTTAGTTTTGATATGAACTGGCAGAGCTTAAGTCAACTTATCATACCCTTTTTCAACAAAGTCCTCTCGCGTAGCCTATAAAATATGCCTCAAAGCTTTTGAAGAACTTGAACAACATGGCAATAACTTTAAATAAACTTCTTTAATAGTGCAGAAAATATGGAACTTGAAGTAAACTATGTTAAATGTCATAGAAAATTAAAATAACTATTGTCTTCACTTTTGATTATTAAGTTAAGCTTTTGTTCACTCAAAAGTAAAGCAGCAGGATTTGGCAGAGTGTCTAAAATTCGTGCTGTTTAGCTATAAAATGTTATTCTCAAATGAATGTGGTTGTTGTTGTTGCCTGTTTGTTTGCCCGTTTGGCAGGTGCAGTTTGCATTCGCCAGTGTTTGTAGCTGTTGCTGTTGTTGTTGTTGTTGTTGTTGCTCATTAGTTTTTTGCTGCCACAAAGTCTACGTCTGTTACCATTTTGGGCTGGCTGGGAATCAGGCGCTGGATTAGCCAGCCAGCCAGTCAGAGTCGGCGTTAGGAGCTAAGAGTTAAGAGTTAGGAGTCAGCGTTCGGCTAAGATAGATAGCAAAGCCAAAAGGAAAATCGAAACATTTGCCCAGCTCTATCGCAAGTGTGGGAAACTTTTATTTCAAGGTTCAAAAGACGCCCGCAGAGTGTGAAAAATGGTTAAAGAAAAAAATAAAAGCATGTGAGTGCTTGTGTGTATTATAAAGCCTGGCGGCGTTGCTTAGGTTAGCTGCCCCCACGGCGTATGCGCAATGCCATAAATTTAGATGTGCTAACGCCGAAAGTGTTGTGTGCGTGTGTGTCCGAATGTCTGTGTGAGAGTGTGTGATCGGCATCGCTCATACGCCATGTTGTTTCATAATTATAACTTAAATACGACAGTTTTATATAAAAATCCACTAGTAAATCAATGTGCGCGCGCCTGGCAATTAACTGCCAAGAAACGTAACAGACATAACGACGAGTCGGCTGGTGGTGGTGCTGCTGCTGCTGCTGCAGTGGTGGTGGTGCAGTGGTGCAGCGAAGCACGTCGCCAGACAGACAGTCAGCTAGCCAGCCAGGCAGCCAGCCAGCCAGCCAAGCGAACTGTCAATTATAACCAATCGCACACCAAGTGCACATTAAACCCTATCAACTGTTTTTGTAATTTATTGTTTGGTTTTGCCAACAAGTCGCATTTGGTGCGAGATCCGCATTGCATGCACCGCACAGCACCGCTGGGCGCTGGCAACCCGGTTGCAGTCTTTGGCTTTGGTCGTCAGCCTCATCATAATTATCGCTGGCTGCTCGGGCGGCACGTTCAACGCAATCGCGCACAGAGCTCCCAGCTAGCAGCTAGCAGCTCCCAACTCTCAAGCTCGCAGCCAAAGTCAAATGAGCAGTTTATGGCCAAGACAACCATTTTGAAGACGCGCCAAAGGAGCTGCCACATGGCTGCTAACTTGACTCACTGTGGCCACGTATGTGCATCTGTTGTGTCTGTGTGTGTGTTTTCGTGTGTGTGTGTGTGTGCCACTCGGGGGCAACATTCACTTTTTTTATTGCACCACTTTGGCAATAGGCACAAGTGTGATTTCAAATCTCTGGGTCGCCTAAACGCGCGGCCCGGGCCACCGCCACTAAATTGGCAGAAATATGAAGTCAGCGTGTGCATTTCGGTAAAAGCGGTGATTATATGCGCACTGAGTGCCGGAGAATGGACATTTTTTGGACACAAAATATATGACAGTCAGTCGCCTGCTGTTGGCTGCCGCTGCTGCTGCTGCCACATAATGCGCATTAGCATATGCATTCGCATCCGAAAGCCAAAGCCAAATGAATGCTCCCTTCTAAGCGGCGCAATTGCAAATGGGGCAACACACCGCAATATGGCTAAATGGCAAAGAAACGGCAACAAACGGCACTGTGGGCTGACGTTGATGGCCAGTTCAATTAAATGCCATCAATTTTAATAACACGAGAGACGGAACAGTCTCTCAGATACACACACACACACAAACACACACACACACACATATACGGGGCTGTTGCTACCTTGGGCGCTGTGCAGCCAAATGCTGGCATGGAAATTACAAATGCATCAGTAACAGCCGCAAACAACCGTCTCAGAGGTCCGAGTTCCCGGTCTGGGCGCATGTGTAGACAGACTTTGGCTCTAACGCACTTGAAGCACTTGAGGCTAAAACAAGCGACCGGCCAGCCCGGCGACCGGGCGACCATTTCACAGGCCCCCGTTGACGGTCAGCTGCGTCAGCATCAGCTCAGTCAGAGCGGCCGAGTCTGTTGTGGCCCTCGGTCATGTTGTTGCAGGGGGCCTCAGACAAAGCACTTTAGCATGGGTCACTCGTACAGTTTGGCAGCACACCACACAACAGCAGCAGCAACAACTGCTGCAACAACAACAACAACAACAACAGCAACAACAATAACACTAAAGGCGACAGGCAGCCACAAAGAGAAGAGTTTTAACAAGTGAAAATTGAATGCGGTAGCCGCAGAGAAGGGAATCAGGCAATATAAATGAAGAATGTGCAAAAACATAAATAAAACTATTGCAAAATAAATGCAAGACGTATGCAAATAATTGTTGTAGTAAACATAGTTTATATATGTAACATATAAATATAAAAAAGTATATTAAATTATTTAAAATATATGCCTGGATTCCTTATTTTAGTTATGCATTTATCTATATGCATGTCTGTAATAATAATGTAAACTAATGAGTCACAGCTTCTCAGACTGAGTCTAAACAGATTATCCCAGCAGAACTATTCATGAATACTCTACAATAAATAACGGTAAAACAACAAGAACGTAAAGCAAAGTCAAAACCAGATTGAACAATTAAGCAAATTTTTATTTAAATAAAACTATATTCAAATGATAAGCGTAGGAACATAAAGTTATAACAATGTAAATGGGCCATAAATATGCACATAGTTTCGTTAAGTCGATCGGCTGGCTTGCCAAACTATAAAATTCCAACACAGTTCGTATAAATTCGTTGTGTTCAGTCCATTTGGCATTCATTAATATGTATAGGCCAAGGCTAAAAAAGGAATATTCGTCATTCAATGAAATTTGCCAATGTTGTGAAGAAGAAATGGCACCAAAGAAATTGAAAACAAAGAGATGAAGAAATGGAAGGTGGAAAAAAAGTAGCAAAAAGGCAATTAATGATTAGCTGTTACAAAGGAATTCATAAAATTTTGATTAACTTTTAAGACAATTAAATGTGGACATATAATGGCAAAAACACAATTAATAACAATTTAAAGCTGGGATCAACATTTCTTAATCTTTACACATTTTAACCACTCTATCCTTCATGTAAAGAAAAAAATACTTTCTTATCACGAAAAATAGACCAATGAATGTTTCACAATTCATAAAATTGTTCACTTTATATATTTTGATCTGACTTTATACAAGCTAGATTTGTTTTAAGATAGTTGAGACTTCTTAAATAAGAAATTCAAGATGAGTTTTGAGTACAATTGTTATATTTGAGCTCTCAATTCACACACAAATGAAACGAAATCCCTCGCTTAACTTAAAAGCTATCAAGGTGTAAAAGAACTTATAATTTATGATTCTATTGAATATGTACAAACTAATATAATCAATGATTCTATTAAGAAACCTACCTTAGACCGGGCTGCCTGATCAATATTCATTATTCAATCGGAACTATGAAATATGCAGCACACCATTCCACAATTGCACTCTTGATCATTTTGTGGAAACCAGTCAAGTCAAGTGCTTCGTGGCACAGAGCAAACTTTCATATGGAGCACGGCGGACCCTTTGCAAGAAGCGGCTCCAAAGAAGCGAGAGAGTTGTTTGGGCACTGGGCTGCAGCGAGGGGGTGGGCTGGGTGCAGTTACCAGTGGAAATTGGCAGCCGTCAGGCAGGCATCGTGGCAACTGCAACTGCAGTCAGTGGTTGCTGTTGTGGCAGCTGCTGTTGCTGTTGCTGCTGCTGCTGCTGCTGCTGCTGCTGTTGGCAATTGATGTCGCGGGCGCCAAAATCGACACACTTGTCCCTGTGTTGGGGCCGTGTGTGAGCGCGGAGCTGACGGGCTGACGGGCTGACGGGCTGACTTGCTGCGGCTGGCAATCGGCGCCGCTCAAGTACAGGTTAAATGGATCACGACTGCACGGATTTGATGTCCGTCTGTCGCCAACGTCTGTCCGCCTGTCTGGGGGCCCATAAAATACGCGACATGCAAACGTTTTTGATGCAATGAGTCGGTCCGCCAGGTCCCGGCTCGGCTCGGCTACGCTCGGCCCGACCAGGCCATGCCGGGCCAGCAAAATTAGGAAATTGTGTACAACTGTTAACTGACAAGGCAAAGTGTTCCAGACAGTTGAGTTGACTTGATGGCGACTGCCTCGTCTCGTCTCGTCTCCTTTCGTCCTCGTCTCGTATTAACTGACTGGTGCTCTTTGGCTAAAGCTAAGCTGATTTTTATGCCAATACCCGGCCACATTTAACGAGTCTCATTAAGCTTTTGCGACCATAAAAAACTCAACAGTTGGCCATTTTGTTTAACTGACTATCAATTGCCTTTACAATTGCAGCGAGCACCTCACACGCCACCAGCAGCAACAGCAAATCCGCCACCAAAGCAGCCGCCAGCAGCAAGGCCTACAGCAGCATTGGCAGCAGCAGCAACAACAACGGCAACTACAGTAATGGCAAGCAGACGAGCTGCTCATCCTCCGCCGCCGGCTATGCAGCTGGTGCCGGTTCCACGTTGGGCGCCTTTGGGCGGCAGCAGCAGCAGCAGCAACAGCAGCAGCAGCAGCTGTACGCTTCCGGCGTCTCCAAGTTGCCATTCTCGCCATTCTTTGCCGCATCGCCATTCTTCTTCACGTATCGACGCATCAGCAAGCAGGAGGACAACAACAACAGTTGCAGCTACAACAACGGCAGCAGCAGCAGCACCAGCAACAGCGCCAGCAACAGCGCCAGCAGCAGCGCTCTCATGCAGGACTACGATCGCAAGTTCAGTTTGCTGAGCCTGTTCAAGAATCCATACAAGTTCGCCGATGCCCAAACGGCTCGCAAATGCTCCACGACGAGCAGTAGCGGCGGCAGCGGAAAAGTTGCCAGCGGAGCAGCAACAGCTGGCGGCGTGTGCTCGCCCAGCTGGAAGAGCTATGCTGGTGCAGGCTCGCCGCATGCGGCACTGAATCCCGCCTTTGGGGGCATGGCCTTAGGCGGTGGCGGTGGCGGCAGCCGCAAGGATTGCAGCAGCTTCAGCGGCATCAACTTTGGCGGCAGCGGTGCGGGCAGCGGCGCCTCGTTCAGTCGTGACGCCGCGTCCAATGGCGGCGGCTACAATGATCTCTCCAAGAACCGCAAGGTACACAAGTGCGATACCGAGGGCTGCGACAAGGTCTATACCAAGAGTTCGCATCTCAAGGCGCACAAACGCACGCACACAGGTGAGTCTTCGGGAATACAGTTCAATATTTTGTAGAAATCTTTCGCTTGGGTTAATTCTTGTATGCAACTTTTGTCACTTTAATTTTTTAAGTGTTTCATTTCCCTTTCTGATGTTAACTTTATAGTTGCGTTTTGTCCGTTCTATTTCCCACTGTGTTACTTTCACTGTACCATTTTGAACATTCTACTTGCAGGTGAGAAGCCGTATGTGTGCACCTGGGAAGGCTGCATCTGGCGCTTCGCCCGATCCGACGAGCTGACCCGCCACTACAGGAAACACACGGGCGTCAAGCCCTTTCGCTGTCAGCTCTGCACCCGGAGTTTCAGTCGCTCCGATCATCTATCGCTGCATATGCGACGCCACTGAGCCGCAGGCCATATGGAAAATACTCACTATAGCCACGCCAAGCCACGCCCACAACAGCATCATTAATAGAAAAAAGAAATGCCCCAATGAGGCCTTTTTGTTTTGACGTTTTCTCCTTATTATTTATAAAACACTGTTTCATGCATCATTTCGTTCAGTTTGTATGTCGTAACGCTTAAGTAGCTCAATTTAGATCCATAAGCGGGCTCAAAGCCCAGTCTAGCAGTAAGAATATAGCCAGTAATTAAAGGAAAAAGAATTTGTAAAATTTTTTGATATCACCTAAGCAGACGTTGCCTTCAAGAAGCCAAGTTAACAAGCGGTACTACGAGTATAATGACAACTTACTACTACACTACCTAAAAAGAAGAGAAATACTATATTTATATATATAATATATTGATATATGGATATTTGATATTGATATTGATATTGATATTGATATGCTTAGTATGCCTTTATAATAATAAATTTGTATTGGTGCTAGCAACTTGTGTGTACATATACTAAACGAGATACGTTTTACATATCGATTATACATTAGCCAGTAATAAGGTTTAACTAATTTTAGTGCAAATTTTTATATTGGATGTTAAGTAGAAAATTTTATACAAAAACAAAATAACCAAGAATATGGTAGATAAAGACAAACAAAAATCAGACAAACACAAGAGGCAGCAATATTTATAAATGACAATCGTACGATAATAATAAACTCTCATATAGTTACTTATATACTTATATAACATTTGTACCATACGTTATGGCAGTTGCATTGCAGTCTATGTTTTATTTCGAAAACTACAAAAGTCTTGAACACCAAACAGTTTCCAACAGAACGACAAATAATCTGTGCTAAGACAAATTAAACAATGCATACAAATGACAATATCTCAATATATCTATACACAGCTCGAAAAAGTCTTTGGAAATTTTTAAAATTGGCACAATAAAATATTTGTATACATAAAAACACACAGTAGTTTTACAATATATGCTATAAATATGTATCTTATTTATGTGAGTGTAATTAAGTGCTATTCTTTTCGCTTCTCAAACACACAAATAAAGTGAACGTTTTTAGCTGGCAAAATTTAAATCGTTTTATATTTTGCAAGCACAACATACTTATTAAATAGCTCCTAAAAAAATGGGCAATTTTTTTATTTTCTTTTCAATTGTTGAGTTTAATGTAAATTTATTTTCTTTTTAATTTGGAAAATTTTTAATCTATGTAAATCTTTCTACTCTCTTAAAGCTTAAATCAGACAAGCAAAGTTTTATTTCAATGCCAGCTTAATATTTATTCAGTAGCCCGTTAAAATTAGCTGCTCCCTTGTTAGCTCTTAATTAAACTTGCTTTGGACTCTAAAGCTTATAAGCACAGATCGGAGTCGATAAATTCTTTAGGCCAAACAGCATGCCACATTTTTGTACCACGACTGCAACAACAGAAGAGCTGCAACTGCCTCATAGATTTAAACATACCACACTGAAAAAATCAAACTGCAAGCATAAAAAAAAAAACAATACAAAAAGAACAAAGTGTATTATTTTTGTACGCCAATACCTTATATATAGCTACATATTTTTTTTCGCTGAAATAAAAATAAAAATAAAAAGTTTTTGTACCATAAACACCGACACACACACACACACACACCTTATGTGTATATGTACACACACATGCTGAGAGGCTAACAAACACATTTGCTCGTGGCTGAAGCTGAGGCTAAAGCTGAACAATAACAAGAAACGGGCAGCTCATTAAGCCACACAACAGGCCGGGTCCAAATCCGCTGTGGATTTTCATTTAAATGAAAAATCAATTGAGCGCACAATGGCTACCAAGTGGCTGTCCCTGTCCACTCCACTAGCCACCGGCTACTAGCCACTAGCTACTAGCCACTAACCACTGTTCGCAGTCCAGAGCTTAGCCAAAGATGTGTGGCAAGTTGTCAACAGGCAAACGGCAACAGCAACAGCAACCGGAGCCGCGGCCTTTGTGTCTGTGCGCAGGCAGCTCTGGCCTCGGCACTTGGACACAGCCCGACCTGGCCCGGCCCCATGGATTGGGGTCCAGCAACGGCACGCACCCGCCAATTGTCCAGGGGAGCATTGTCGTCGTTTGTCGTCGGCTGTGCGCGCGCGTTGTTTGCAATAATAAAGATGACAAATTTCTCGTCATTTGTAATTTCAATGCGGGCCTTGGATTGGCTTTTTGCTAATACGCGCAACTGGTTAGAGCAGCTGCCGGCTCTGCTCCCATCTCTTTCCCTCGCGATGACACCTGCAGCGGAAATCAGTGCATGAATAACGTTTCGATCATTAAGCTAAAATTGTGAAATATTACGTATACGCAGCGGCAATTTATTGGTAAATTAATAATAAACACAGCCGACAGACAGTAGCTACCGCTGCTGCTGCTGCTGCCGCTGCCGACGTCGATGCCGTTGCTGTTGCCGTTGCCGCCTCGATGGGGCCGCGTTTAGCATAAAGGTTAGACATATATAACATACCGATTTTTTCGGGTTAATTAATATACTACTCCTATGTCGGATTGTATGTCTAACGAATATGCCTTTTGGTCAGGTCATCTTGGCGAGGCTGACGCCAGGTTTAATGACCCGCAGCATGCAAATGAGTAAAAGTAAACAAACGAGCATCAAACGACACTGAGGGCAATAATTCTGCAGACGAGTACGCTTCGTATGATTTTTGCAATAGTTGAATTCGTCTGTTGTTTTTGATAGATGGAGAGCACAGGGAAGCAAAATAAACATATAAGGGGTGCATAACTACTTAATTCATTTTGATTTAAAGCGTATTTTGTTTGGTGATATTTGCAGGGCACTTTAATGTGAGCTTAGCTGTAGCTAATAATGTTTAAAAAAGGCCAGAACATTGAACGCATTTTCAACATTTTGAAGGTATTATTTGCCAGTCACCATGTCCTCAAGGCAAAGAATTAAACGGGAATGTATGGTTTATAATTGCGATTTAACACGCTTTTTATTTAAGAGGAATATACATTATAAACAGGTTAAGCTTTGCTTGGTAACTTATGGTAAATGATTAAACGGAACTTAGAGATTTTCTACGATACTAGATCGCCAGCTTTCTTCCCTTTAACTTCCCTTTAACCTACATTCTTAGCAGATAATGATTTAATTGGCAATATTTGCAAGGCTCTTATCATGGTAAGTAAAAGTTATCAGAGTCTTCAGATATTTAATTTAATAACATATATTTTTAACATGTCTAGCTTCTATTGGTAATATTTGCAAGCACTTTATCTTCATGGTAATGTTGCACATATACATTGCCATAGAAAAATCGTCCTAAAAATCGTTAATAAAGTGCAACCAATCATTTGCGCCAATATTTTTGATGTCTTCTAAGAACAATTGTTTTTTTTTTTTTCTAAATTTAGTTCAACAAAGTTGTCCCTTTATAAATATAATTTTACTACTAATATTCTTATGTTTGCTTATTTTATATATATAATATACAAATTTATTACAATGAGCTTATTTTTCTAAAACTTAAAATCTTGAAGAGAGAACGTGGCAAAAAATCATTGTGCAAGATCTATAAACATTTTTATGCGTCAATTAATGAACATGAAAGGAAAAATAAAAATTAAAAAAAAATGTATTTTTAGACCGCTCTAAACTAAATATTTAAGAGCCTTGTTGCATGCATTGTAGCCTTGACATGAATCACACACAGAGAGACAGACAGAGAGAGAGAGAGAGAGAGAGAGACGGAGAGAGATACACACATGGCGAGCTCATTAAAAGCCAATAAAGTTGCAGCTATGCATCAGCAAACGTGTCCATCAAACGCTGCCTGCCACTTGGAGTTGCAGCCGCCGATCGGCAATTGAATGCGGATTCGGGATCGATGCTGTCCATCAGCCAAAAAACGCTCCAATAACCAAATCGCACGGCAGGTGGGCAGGCAACACGGGCAGGCAGGCGGGCAAGGAGGCGATCTGCGGTTGGAGCTCGTGTGTGCCTAGGCCAGCTACAGTTGGCCATTTTTTAATTTATTGTTATGCCTTTTTGCTGGCTCTTGGCTTTTGGCTGCCGCTGCCGCTGCTGGTCGGCAGGTCACCTGCAATTTATGAAACTGTGCGGCTTTTGCGGCCTGATTTTTGAGACACATTTGGACGACTGTCGCAACGGCGGCAACTCGCCCTCTCTCACTCTTTATGTGCTGCTGCTGCTGCTTTTGCTGCTGCTGCTTCTGTCCGTTTGATTTGTGATCGATTGTGTGTCGTTACTTTGCGACATGGGGCATGAAATCTTTGACACCTAACGGTAACTGCCAGCCAGATCACAGTCACACAATCGCCCCCGTCGCAGTTTGCCTTTTAGCTTCTGCATTAAATTGGAACAGCCGCAGTTGCAGAGCAGTCAGAGCAGAGCCTCTGCCTTGGCCTCTCAGCTTTGTGCCGTCGACGCCGCCGTTGCCGCCGTTGCCGCCGCGTGAGCCTCAGAGTTGTCAGCGCGTTGCCAAAGTGTTGGCAGTTTTGCCATTTATTTTACAGGTGAGTGAGCATAATGGACAGTTGGCCGTCTGGCTGCTGTTGACGGCAATGCTGTGTGGCTATGTGGCTATGTGGCCCACTGCGACATGCTGTGCGCATTGGCTCAATTAAAAATGGTCTGGGCCACGTTAGCTGCCTCATTTGACAATTGGCAATTGCCTAATAGAGGCAAATGGCCAATGGTCAACGCTCTGCGGCTAGAGACCGTTTTGTTTTTCCGCCCGATGCTGCTGCTGCTGCTGGCTTTTCTTTTAATTTTGTTAGCAAAAATGCTTAAATTAAAATTCCCATCACACCATAAAACCCATAAATCATCTTTTATCTAAGCGAGTCTATCGGCGCATGCGCGCGCGCGCCAACATTCAACTTGGAGCGAGGCAGCAGCAGAAGCAGCAGGAAAAAGCCTCCTCAAGTTGGGTGTGCGTGTGTAAGTGTGTGTGTGTGTGGAAAATGATGCTGTCTGTTTTACCAGACTCGGCACTGGGAACTGGAGACTGAACCTGCTTCGTTGCCTTAATGAGAATTTAATATTTTTCAATAAAAATTTGTAAAAGGCGCGTTTTGCCTGTTGCTGAGCTCAGCCAGGCGGCTTCGGCCTCGGCTTCGGCGGTGGCTGCGATTTCCTCGGCCTCCACAGTGAAGACGCTTATAGAAAGATGAGGCCAACATCTCTGCCACTCTAATGTGTGTGCATGTGTGCGTGTGTATCTATGTGCTATTAACGCACTTATGTTTGGGGTCTGTTTGGGTTGTGGTCAGGTCTGGTCTCTTGTTTTGGGTAGTCAGTGGCGGCAGCAAAAGGATTCATTGATATTGGCTGATTTCGATTTGAGTTTTAAAATCGATTTTTATTGCAACTTAAGTCTCATAAAACAAAGTATTTAAGGATATTGAGGCTGTTAAGCGTGTTCCTTAAAGTAAAACTCTATCACAATCTAATTAAATAGCTTAAAGCCCAGGCGTCATAACTATTCCGTTTGAAATGTATGCCATTTTATGGTGCATATTTTATGGGTATGTATAGAGCATGTCGAGGAAGACTTCTAACTAGAGCTTTTACATATTTATGAAAGCGATTACGCTCATATTTTTATTTGCGTTACTGGAGATTGCATATCTTTTATAGGATATCTTTAAATACTTGTTTGTAATAAATAATAATAATAAATAGATTTATTCGATAGCATTTTAATTTTTTTTCTCTCAAATTGTGCTTTTTTCATAAAGATAAAGTCAAAACCAGTTAAATGTGTTGTAAGTATTAGACTAATTAAAATACTACATACCCCGCAAAACTGTAATTAGTAATCATTTTTTAAGTAATATTGCAAGTATAAAGCTTATAGTTATGAATGCATGCAATGCACTTTTAGAGACGCTGCGTGCAGAACGTTTACGAATGCGACACAAAGCAGAAACGAAAATGCAATGCTAATGCTAGGAAGTGAGTGTATATACCCATACCCAAATGCCCATGCTTCTGGGCTTAGCTATTCAATAGGCGCCCCCTTTATTAATTGTTCATTATCTGACAATGT